GCAATCAAGATGGTTACAAATGCTAGTGTTAGATCTTCGATTGATTGTCATGAGCTGCATGGAAATGTGCATTCTTTTGCACATACTATGCTTGCGACAACCTGGTCACGGATTCCCTTTTGCACCACTGATTTTGGGTGGGGAGACGCTATTTTTATGGCGCCCGTAGCGTTGCCCGTTGATGAGATGGTGATATTTTTCCAGGACAATGGGAAAGAGCACTATGGAGATATGGTTGTTTATGTGGCTTTGCCAGAATCGACTATGGAGACCTTTCAAAACCTTGTGATGATGTAGAAGTTAATGGTGTGTGTTTCATGTCTTTTGCATTGCCTATTTTGAGTTTGGTGTGCTTTCACATAGATTTCATTTTCGGGTTGTATCTTGTTAACTCTTTGTCGTTTTTTTTCCTATACGTGTTTTTCAGTGATGTACTTTTTTTGTGCTTGTCGTCCTTGTATGCTCAATTATCTCTAAATAATGTTAAGAGGTTTCTCTGAATGATGTTATGACCTCAATACTCATATTTGTCTTGCATCAAGCGCCGGTCGAGGAGGATAATACCTACATGAGTACGGAGCGGCAGGTCGACCCACTCTTACATGTTATTTAAAAAAAAAATACAGGCAGAAAATTTACTTTTTATGATGAAATGAAGGAAAAACAATCTTTGAATGAAAAATAGTGATAATAGAATAATTAATTGAGTCTAACTAGTTAAAAAATCAAGTCTAACTAGTTGGAAAAATGTCAAAGTAGGAGAAATATGAAAAGAATAGTAAGAAATTGAGATAGAATGGGTGGGAAGGGGCAGAGCGGATTGGAAGAAAACTCATGCCTCGTCCTACGCTACTACAGGGCGGATTCAAATTATCATATCCCTAAATGATACCATTTTTGGATTTTTTTTTAACGGTGCTCTTGTGATGTATAGATATATTAATAAACTGAATCGCTAAATGTAGCCCTAAAAATTGCTAAACGTCGCCCTAACTTAAATGTCAAATTACCTATATACCAAGTGGTGTTTGTTTGCTAAAGGGAAAGTAAAGAAGCTAAGGGGGTTAAAAGTGTAACTTTGATATTTTTTAGGGCGACCTTTAGCAATTTTAAGAGCGACCTTTAGCAACTTCCTTAATAAAATATTATATACAACATATCCTAAGCTCCGAGTGTATGTAAAATATCCATATATCTATTTTATTAATTTAATTTATAAAAAAATATCAATAACCACTTCCAGTTTAGTGTTCAAGTGGTCTTGTGTACAGTATGTAGTACAAATCCACGGCGTATATCACAAAAATAATTTTATTGCTTTGGTTGAGGGTTAGTCCTAACATCAAGAATTATTAATTGATACTTAGTCCAAATTTGAAAAACATAGGCTCCTATACATTGTACAAGACAACTCATTTTGAATTTTTGGATTGACAAATCTTCACATAAATGCTACGCAAAGAAATATAAATCACAGAAAAAAAAACCTTTGGAAACCTCTACCTAAGGTATGACTCAAGATCAAATAAATGAGACATCATAGTGGCATGACCATGGTTTTAAAAAGAGCACCTAGGCACTTGCCTAAGCTTGGGGCAAGTCAAAAGGAAAACGTCTCTCCTTGGAAAAATGCAATAGAGAAGGCATCACAATCACGTTGTGACTTCGGTGGAACCCACTCAGCATTGAGTTGCGCATAAAAATGATGTCACGATCAGTGCAATCAAAATCGCGCATTAAAACGTAAAAACTTATGTTTTTACGTATCCAGGCCACCAAAACGTTTCAGTTTCTACCTAAAGTCGCTTAGTCACAAAAACTGATAAAAACATGGGTAAAATCGATAAAATCGCTTAAAATCAGTAAAATCGCGATTCTGAAGCGTTTTTATACGATTTTGATCATCTCATAAAAATGTGCTAATTGGCCCAAAATGATGTAATTTTGGAGACATATCAGCAAACAATAAAAAAAGAAAACATGATTCATCACTCGTTCTACAACTAGTGTCGAAATAGGGGCTTCACATTAGGTTGAAAAGACACCTAATGGTATTCTCAACAGTCGTTAACCTTCTATCTGTCTTCTCCCTTAATCTTCACATGTGGCTCTTACGTGGGTTACGATGAAAGTTTATGGGTAATTGATCGTATGTAATTATGTAAACTCAAACCAACTTATGAGAATTTGGATTCTCAAGCTCGTTTACGGGTTACGATCTACGTTTATGAGCTTATTATTAAGATGCTATGAGTTTTCTTTACTTCTGAGTCAACGCAAATTAGTTTGTGTTAGATATTACATTTTAATTATGAATTTCATGTAGTTATCCACTTATCTAAAATCTACACACTCACATTTTACATATTATACGTTGTACTTAACATATTTTAGCTATTTTAGAGGGTGCGTCAAAAACTTACGATTTTACGCTTTGATTCTACGTTTTACGATTTTACCCATTTTTCGCTTCTAGGTAAAATCGCGATTTTAACTGCATTGGTCACGATTTCGTTTTACTACCTTTTGATATGCTACTAGGGAGGACATTCTTGATTTCTCTATAGCTATGTTAGGATATAGTTAGAGAAGACCATCTTTAGAGTAGCTTCTTCTTTCATTTTTGTGCTTCTTCATTTCAATATGCTTCACTATTTTCCAGCTTCTTCTTTCTAACTCATTATGTTTTACCATGTGTTGTTGATGAAAGTTTAGAAATGAGAGGTAGATGTGATGGTATTTGGTTCATAAACTTGTGATTCTAGCAGGAACGGAGCCAGCTTGTCCCCCCAGATTTAAAAATCTTTGTAAATTGCATGTAGACAAACGATGATCGAGGTTGTAGACTAAGTGGTAAGTATGTTGACTTAACCTACACAAATCTGAGCGGTAGGTCAGCAGTTCCACCTGCAGTCATGTTAATTGTTTTGAATGTTTGACATATATAAACTTAATTTTTATAAATACATCTAAAAACATCATAACTCTTTGAAAAATGAATTCTTCATTACATTTTAGTAAAAAGAAACATATTACTCTAATCCATAAACATATTAGTGACTTGGATTTTAGAGATCAAAAGCGTAAATTGGTTAAGTATTCGTTGAAATAAATCTGTAAACAAAATTCCATAAATTGATTATTTATTGAGTTTTTGAAGAATTTACAGGCGCATTTTTTAATTATGTCATTGGGGGTGGGGGGGGGGGGGGGAATTCAGCCCCTAAATTCAAATCCTGGGTCTGTCCCTGGATTCTTGGTGAGTAGGACATATTATGCTACGTTTATATCTAACACTTAGGAATGCCTAAGCGATACCTAAGCATGTTAGGAGCGAGATAGAGTCTCAATGCCCTTATGCCTCATGCTTTCTTGAACCTTGGCCATGACTAAACACATTTATAAAAGTTTTGAGTGTTTAATTAGGTCATTCTCTCATGAATATACATAAGGCTCACATGCTAAAGACCTCATCGTTTTTAAGAATACGAAAATAGTTGTAAGTGTAATAATATTAATTAAGGAGTCGTTTGGATAAGATAATTGAATGCGTTATTTTGGTCCAAACACAGCCCAAAGTTATTTGAACCAAAATAACTTGTTTGGCAATCTAATTGGGTGATGAGTGATTTTGGGCCGGGTTATAAATATGGCATATTCATGAGGGTGGATTAACCTCAGCAAGGAAGCAAGGGTGGATGGACCTAGATAAATCGGCCCAAACACAGCCCAACAAACAATCCCCAAGCCCCGCCCAGTAGGGTTAAGGATCAACATGCGCAAGAATCCAGAACCCGCCGCCACGTGTATTATTCATCATCAAATTGAAATCTATCTTCTCTCTCGGGCTGAGATCAGGTGACTAAGGGGGGTCCCCTTAGTCACATGGCTAAGTGAATCTCAACCACCCAACCTCATTAAAATCTAAGGGCTCCTATTAATCCAATTTAATGAAGGGCACTGTAGTAATTACATGTTTAATTTTTACTTTTAATTAATAAAATAAAAATAAAAAAAGGGCAGTCGTCCGCGTCGGCCCCGTCCAATTTCCTGGGCAGAGAATTCTTCTCCCCTCCGCCATTATTCCCTGGAATTCCCGGAGAGAGAGCCGTCCAATTTCCTGGGCAGAGAATTCTTTTCCCCTCCGCCAAATTCCCAGAGAGAGAGAGAGAGAGAGAGAGAGAGAGAGAATTTTCCGGCGACAGTATTGGATTTGTGATGTTTACTGACCTGTTTTGTAATGTTTATATAGATTCAGTTTGTATTGTTTGTAATTTTTAGTGACATTTTGTACGGTTAGTATGCTTTGTACTGTTTGTCGGTTTATTTTGTAATGTTTGTACGCTTTGTTATTTTGTAATGTTTGTCGGTTTTTTTTTGTAATGTTTGTCGGTTTTTTTTGTAATGTTTGTAAACTTTGTTATTTTTGTGCACCATGTTTATCATTTTTGTCAACCATGTTTGTAATGTTTTTTATGTCTAAAAAACAACCTGGTTGACTTTTGGATGGACCTCCTCTATATAGGGATGGAGCCTCCAAAGTCAACCCGGGTGTTTTTTCCAGTTCGTATGGATTGTCGGTCTAGTTTGTCATTTTTGTCCACCATGTTCGTAATGTTTGTATGTCTAAAAAACACCCGGGTTGACTTTGGGAAGGAGCCCCTCTATATAGGGATGGAGCCTCCAAAGTCAACCCGGTTGTTTTTTCTTTTTGTATGGTTTGTATTGTTTGTCGGTCTAGTTTGTATTGTTTGTACAATTCATACGTTTGTAATGTTTGTAAATCTGTTTGTATGTTTTGTCACTCTAGTTTGTACTGTTCGTATGTTTGTATGGTTTGTACTGACTGTAAATCCGGTTTGTATACTTCGTAATTTTCCATAATACCCAAACTACCCTTGTCATTAATTAAATAGTCATTCCCACTTTTTAACCATTGAATTGAAGTGTCCAGATCTAAGAGCTGGAAGAGCTTAGTCAAGTGACTAAGCACCCCCTAGTCACCAGATCCGCACTCCTTCTCTCTCACCGCTTTAGTTGCTGTGCCACGCTACAGTCTTCCCATCTTTGCGTCAGAGTCAGTGTTACCAAAAAACAAAAAAAAATCAATCTCTCCCCCAAAACCCTAGCTCCCAAAATACATAACCAGATCTAAATCTATCCCGCCCGCCATTACCGCTTTCTGTCCTTCTCCCTCTCCCATGGTGAGTTTCCTTTCGCTTCGGTCCAGTAGCTTCACTCGATTCAGCTTAATTTCTCCCGTTCACTCTCTCCTCAATTTTTTTCTCGCGTTTGGTCTTGTAGAATAGTCGCGGCGGAGAAGGAAGAGGCAGGGGCCGATTCCTGGGAACATCTCGATACGACGACGGCGTCGGTGGCGGTGGAAGGCAGGGGAGCCACCCGCCGTCGAGGCACCTGTGGGTGGGGAATCTATCTCACAACATAGAAGAGACCGACCTGACGCGGCACTTTTTGGAGTTCGGCGATCTCGACAGAGTCGCCTTCCTTCCTGGCAGGAGCTACGCTTTCATCAATTTCAAGAACGACGAGGACGCGATCGCGGCGTACAAAGTTCTCCAAGGGTTCGCCGTCGACGGGCTCCCTCTTAGGATCGAGTTTGCCAAGGCGGTTAGTCTTTTTGCGGCCCCTCTTCTTCTTCTTCTTCTTTCTGCTGCTTTCGTGATTTCTTCTTCTACTGCTACTTCGGCTTTTTCTGGGTTCGACTCTTTTGTTGGTATGTATTCTCGTTCCTTCTGTGAGTTGAATTCAATTAAAGTTGATTGCTTTCAAGGTGTCTCATATTCTATCCACAAATTTAGATACAGAGCTTTGATGGGTTAGCAATCCATTCATCAAATTGGCATCCAATTTCGGCGTTGAATCGAAGTGTGGGTAAAAAAAAATTACTGTTAATCTGGTTATTGAATAAACTCTTTAACAGAAATTCAAAAGCTAGTCAATCTAAGCTCCAGTTTATGCACTCAGTGCAAGCTTGAATGGTTAGCGGCATTGGTCGACCCACTATTGTTAATCTGGTTATTGAAGTGAATCTGTGCACAGTTTCATCAAGCTAGCCAATTTAATATGGAAAAAGTTCAACAGAATGGTGAACCAACTATTGTTAATCTGGGCGGTTAAGCTTGAACTCAGTCTCGGTTCATCAAGTTAGCCAATTTAAAGCTTCCATTTGCGCATTCGATCTCGGCTTTAATGAAGTTAACAAGAACTTGAATCAGGAATGAGTTTGCGTAAACACTGAACTTTAATCCACATTCCTGCAATTCCACTTTCATTCCTTGATACACCAGGTCCCAATTCCAGTATTCCCTGAGCACAGCATATGATTAATACACATACGCGATACGAACAACACGAACACAGGCATGCTTGAATCAAGCAATTGATCATGTTAAGATTCTGTTGGGGTTTAAAACGAAATGGTGTCAGCAGTTTCTGGCCATATGATTAATTTTGCAAAGAGCAAAAGAAGCTCTTTTATCCAATCTGCATCTTCAGTGATCATGGCTAATGACACTCCAATCCAACCTACACTATACAATAATCTGATATTTGTTAATTGAAATCCTAAACTTGAAAAATCATTAATTTAAAATTTGGTTAAACTGGTATTGCCTGTTTCTCAGATGGGTCCTTCTCAGAGGCCCTGAACCGAAAAATTATTCCCATGGATACTGTCCACAATCTTGGAAATTACAGATGTACTAGTGAAATAAAATCGAATAAGATTATGATTGGAATCTCAAATTACCCTTAATTAATAATTACCAATTAAATAGATTTTTTTATAAGGCCAAATAAATGGAACGATGGAATAAATTCACTGCAGAGAACTCCATCCCAGCATCTAATAATCTTTTCCATGTTTTCCATGTCAAGTAGCAGAACTCTGATTGTTTGGTTCCCTGAACTTTTATAAGATTCTTAATCTCAGGACAAGTCTTCGTCATCACGTGATGAAGACCAGACACAACAAAGTCCCAGTGAAGTTTTGTGGATAGGCTTCCCATCTGTACTCAAAGTCGACGAAGCGATCCTAAGAAGGGCCTTCTCCCAATTTGGTGAGATAGAAAAGATCACAGTTTTCCCTGGTCGTAGCTATGCATTCGTACAGTTTAGAGCATTGTCATCAGCTTGCAGGGCTAAAGAGTCTCTCCAGGGGAAGCTGTTCGGTAACCCACGCGTCCATATCTGTTATGCCAGGAATGAAGCGCGGCCGAGATCCCCTCGCTTACCTGGAGATTCTTCTGATGGTGGTGGTTGGAGGAGGTTCGACGAGGAGCGAGGACCGCTAGGACCGCCGCCAAATGTGTATGAGAGGCGTGGTGGGGCGCCCAGGGGAGATGGTCGAAGGGGTTCCTTGTTGTACAAGGAAGAACCGTGGGATTTGCCTGTCGAAGAAGATTCTTCGTATCCTTATACCACTAACAAGAGGCTGAAGACGGGATCTTTCGAGCGTGAGCTTCCTGACTATCATCCTTACTCTGACCAAGAGAGTCGACGTGCACCTCCAGGGGGTTTCACCGATTTCCCTCACCAGCCGGAAGGTCTTGGGAGGAATGTGGATCGCCCGGCAGGGGAACCTTTTCCTGTAGAGAGGAATAGGTTTGGTGGTTCCTCTGAACCTCTAGTACCAAAGCCGTCGTTGAAGTTGTGGCAATGGGAAGGAGCTATAGCGAAGGGAGGGAGTCTGGTTTGTCAAGCTCGTGCGTTTCCCGTAGGGAAATCTATGGAGATCATGTTGTAAGTAGTATTTTGATCATTATTGCTTTCTTCTGGATTTGAGAGTTTTGAGCTCAGTCGGTTTGAGACCAGTGTTGATCCCCGTTTCCCTCCCTTGCTTTTACAGGCCAGGATACTTGGACTTCACAGCAAGAACAAGCCTCGACATGCTTGCGAAACACTACTACCAGGCACCTTCCGCTTGGGTCATCTTCTTCGTCCCAGCGAGTGATGCTGAAATGGGACACTACAACGAGTTCATGCACTACCTCGGCGAGAAGGAACGAGCAGCCGTTGCAAAACTCGATGAAAGAACCACTTTGTTCCTCGTGCCACCGTCTGATTTCACAGAGAAAGTGCTGAAAGTTCCAGGAAAGATGAGCATTTCTGGCGTCGTCCTAAGATTGGAGCCTCAGGTTTCGCCACCTCATGAACCGAACTTGCACCTCCAAGGGAATGCTCATATGCCTTACAAAGCAACATCTCTTCCCCAGCCGGATTCTTTGGGTATGCCGCCAGCTGGATTCTCGGGATTGGTTCATCCGTCTCATGGAGGGAACATGTCGAATCTGTATGCTGATCATAGGAATGAATATCCTCCTCCTCCCCAGCCGCGGAGTAGAACAGCCATGTCCCCGCAGCAGGTGTCTGGTGCTGGAAATGATATGATGTATCATCATGATTCTCACTACCAAGGTTGGTTTAAATCGAGATCCTACTTGTTACGAATCTTAGTATTTTACGAGTTTAATCTATGAGCTTCGCGATCTGATTGTCACTTGATCATGCCAGGAGCAATGCGCGAAAGTAGCTCGGGCCATTATGCCGTTGGAACATCAAACAACATGCCCATTCAGCAGCAGCCGACACCGCCTTCGGTTCCTCCAGGCCTCCAGCCACATCAGCTGGCGCAGTTAGTATCCTCGCTTCTCGGGCAGCAGAGCCAGCTCGCAGGAAGCAATCCAGAACCATCAGTGATCGATGATCCGAGGAAGGGAAGAACGTTGGCGGCACAAACACAAGACTTGCACAACAACCAGCAGAATTATGAGGCTAATTCTCAGTATGGTCAACTGCAGCATCTGCAGCAGCAGCTGACGGCAATAAATAGAGAGTTGCAGTCCACAGCAGTGGGGCAAATGAATCATCAACCTCCGTCAGCAGTTCAAGGTGGTGCCGCCGGTTCACAAGAAGGCGGTGCCGGCAATGTTAATAGGATGGGGGCGACATTGGAACTTGCAGCAACTCTTCTTAAACAGCTTCAACAAGGGAAGGGGCCGTAGGTAGATAACCGTTTATAACATGTGTTTATGTTGTTTAGGTCTTGAAAAGGCTTGGTAGTTAGTAGCTTGTATGAACAAAAGAATACTTTCATGCTTTAGTGGCTGTGGTTGGTTTTGATTCTCTTATGGTGCAAGTTGCACTCCCTAACGCTCTTCTAGATTCTTATCTGACCAACGAATGGATCCACTCGTGGATTAACAAGGATTGTAAAGCTGTATGGAAGGTTGTACTAGAAGTATGGAAGGTTGTACTAGAAAAGGTAGTAGTACGGTATTTTGTGCTGGAATCATTATCTAATCGTGGTTAGGGGTGGGCAACTGATTCGATTCACATCGACCGAATTGGACCGAATCGACTCTCACACTGAATCGGATCGAACTGTTTATCTTTTGATTCGACTTTGGTTCTTGAATTTGGGACATTTTTTCGGTTTCGGTTTGGTCCATACCGAAACCGTAAAATCAAGCTAAGGACCGGACCGGATCGTAATTTAATTATTTGCCTATTTTATTAGGCTCTGAGAAGGCAAGTCGACTTGGAGTTGAAAACCCTAGTACCCTACACAACACTTATGACTTAACTACCTATAAATATGATTGACTTTCCCTGACTTTGACTCGCACTCCAGCTCCTATAGTCCTACCCTCAAATCAGAGCTCTCATCCGCGTTGCTTCGATCAAGAGGCTGTTTACTTTACCTACACACTGTGAGAAGATGCAAATAAATGACACCACAGAGGCTTCTGTCAAGTCTGACAACACCACTGCAAATTAACAAGGTTAAAAACCATTTGTTTTATAGCACTAGTTCTTGGAGTGTCACTTTGTTAAACTCTTTTCTAATGTCTTATATCACGTGCTTATATGGCAGAAGAGAGGCTTTCTAATGAACAGTGGAAATTCTGGAGATTGGGTGATCCAACGTGCACTCTGGAAATGAAAATGGAAGATTAGAGAGGCAATTAGTTAGTCTACCTTTGAGATTGAATAAAAAACTTTTGTCTTTTAGTTAGTTAAGTAGTTCTCGTTTAGATTTTTGCATAATATTTTGGAACATGTGGTTTTTAAGAATTGTGGAGTATTTAAATTAGGATAATTTGATTACTTCTTTTCGTGTAGTTACATTTTTTTAATTCTTGTCTTGTCCATTAAGAGGGATTTTATTCGAATGAAAGATTAGTCGGTCTAATGGGATTGTCCATACCGAATCGATGTAATAATGATTCGACTTTGGTCCTTGATTTAGAAGAAATTTTGGTCCGGTCCGAGAATAGTTTGGTCCGGTCTTGAACTGAATCGACCGATGTCCACCCCCTAATTGTGGTTCAATCATTCCATACCGCTTAAATTACCTACCAATAGGTGATTTTTCGGTCGGACCGTCGGTATGATAAGTTTTACTAATACTGGGTTCGACTTGAAAGTTTGAACATAATCAATTGAGATTTGTTAGTTTAGTTTCGCTTCGAATTCTCATATTTTAGGCTTGAATCTTTGAATTGAACTCTATAAAAGCACAAGAAATAGGACCATATGAAATTGCTATACAGATTGAATCAAGCTTGTAACTATAAGACGATGAATCTGCAAAATGTGAACGAGTTGAAGGGAGTCGAAGAAGAATAAAGATCAAATCCAGAATGTAAATGAGGCGGAAGAATATTACAGTTCTATCCAATCTGTTCCAATATATAAGGTGTCTTAGGTATAAACCCACCTCTTTAACTCACTAGGTTTAAGCCTTAATTTACTCTGAGGAATCAAAGGAAGGAATGAAGGGGACCTTTTACCCCGTTCCTATATGAAAAGGACAGGAAGAATTACAAAATAGTGTCAACGTTGCATCAAAATTTACAATATATACATGAATCAATGATCAAATCAATTTACAATATATACATGAAAGAATGATGAAACCATTGCCTCACTATACAAGTAAGCTACATGTATTGATTTCCCCCATTCTAGGTCTTATTTGGGGAAAGCTAGACATAAAAATAGGTAGAAGTGTCTGCTGCATTTGCAGAATCTCTGCAGAGAATTGACCGTGCTTCGATTACTGATAGCGGCGGCTCTGTTCTGTATCCTTATCTTGCAGTGAGTTTCCGAGAAGCCTCTGCATCTGGGAAGCAAATATGTCGTCCATAATGTGGAAGTAAACAAGGGCACAGCATTCTCATCAATTACACTCTTTAGCAACATGGTAGGTAAGAAAATGTGCTAAACTTTCAAGGTTCCCATAAGCACAAGAACTTACCCAGTTAACCCAAGAGCATAGCAAGAGCCATTTTACCAAACCCTGTTCTCCTTTCTGCCCTCAAGAAACTTCAGTACAATCTAGAATGAATGAACAAACTAACACCAGTCAAGATATAAATGATTTCTTCGGAAGCAAGGCAATTTTTTTTTTTTTTGTTAACAACATAGATACGGTTGGCTGATTCTTCTACCTGTCCCACTCTATCCCACAATCCACGAGAGGCTGCAACGAATATCCGGCTGGAGAAGACACCAGACATATTGGATATGTTGTCGATGAGCTGTGACATCATCATTTGTCATACATTTCTTCAGCAAAAGGAGAAGTGACTTGATTTGTTGTTACCCCAGCCCATGGAACCTGCAAAAGATCATCTAGGTAAGAATGCTGCTGTCTTTGGGTTGCCAGCCAGCCAAACCAAAACCTTTTTGTGTTTTTGACTGACACTGAGATATCAGAAACGAGACTGAGGTATCAGAATGGCTATACCTTCTCTGCTTTGCAAAGCTCAAGCAAGTTCAGTTCAATATCTTGTACCCACACAATAATGTAGCTGTGAATAATACCACGAAAGGAACAGCAATTAACAAGGAATTTTATTATATCCATAGCATTGGATTTGGACAAGTTGTACGTGTTTGATCCTGGCAACAAACCTGATTTTCCATACATCAAGGTCTCTTTCAGAGAGAGCAATTGTTATCAGAAGCTCATTTACATGTGGCTGCGGGCTACTTGGAGGCCTGCCAACAAAAAGCTTCTAAGCCTGCTACACAATTCCGTGCTGTAAACAGCAGCTGAGATGTTTGACAGGTCAATGAGCTGAAAATACCAATGTTGTCAAAGCCGAGCCGGAGTATGACCCGGTAACGTGAACGGTTCGGTCATTAGTGGTCCAACCGGCATTAAACCGTTTAAAAACCGTTTGAGAACCGATAGTCCATTTCGTAAGCAAACTAGCAGCCCCTATCAGGAAATCTCAAAATCTACGCTAATCACGTCAAGATCAGACAAACGACTACTAGATCCACCACTAATCAAATACCCAGTAAACCAATCGCCACCGACAGCCCAATAATACCCACACTGGAGAAATGCTAACTTAGAAATCCCCAGAACCAACGGAAAGAGTGAAGAAGAAGAAGAAGGGAGATTAATTACCCCGCTGTCGGATGGCGCGCTGCTTGCGGCGACGGGACGGAAGCGTTGGGGCGATGGTTGACGGCGGCAGGGTGGCGCCGCTCTCCCTCTGTCGTCTGTTCTACTTCTAGGTCGAAGATGAAGAAATAAAATGAAAGTTAGGGTTTTGTTTGGCTGCCCCATTCCACGATTGGGCTTCTTTTTTTTTTTTTTTTGGGTAAAGCAAATGGCCCAACCGCGCGACCGGCTTGAATGGCTCGAGCGGTTAACCGCTTCGGCCGCTCGGCGGCCGCTATATAAAACCGTGGCGGTTAAATAGCTGATCCGAGCCGGTTTTACGACCGGGTGGCGGCTTTGGCGGTCCGGCCGGCCGGCTCGGTTCGGCTTTGACAGCACTGGAAAATACACAAAAGAGGGCATGTCAGAACAAAGAGCTCGGGTTCTGAGAATATGCAAAAGGGTGAAGTTGATGAAAGATGAAAAATTTACACGTAAAAGTAAACAAGACAAGGCAAGACCTCAAAATCTTCATATTGGACATGGTTGGTTAAAGTGGAGAAGATATTCTTGCCTGGGGAAGATGTTCTGATTGCGAATTTTGATGTCTGCCTGTATTTCTTTGCTAATGTTCAAGCACAGATTTTTCATCTTCAGATAAGCGGTCGAGACAGTTATGGATTCCAAGAGGAAGCCTTCGAAATTGCAGGAAACATATTCGTCAGTCTCGATCGTGTGATTACGACACCTTTTCTTCGCTGCGGTCTGTAATCAAAGAGACTCATCTGGTTTGAAACTTCTCCCGCTGGTTATGAAATGACGGAACAGAAAATAAATGAGCTCTCGGATGTAGTGGATAACATCTTTTAGCATTACCTGTAAGTAGTTCTTCAACATAATTTGTGCATCATGAGACAGTATATCATGAAGAAGGGTATAGACATCGATAGCATGAGTTAAAGCTAATGCAGCAGAATCTTGCACTGGACCAAACAAGTCAGCCAAACCAGTAGGAGAGGATTCATCCAGTGACTCGTAGCTTCGAAAACAGTTGCCAACAGCTTTTCAATTTGTGTTTCACAATCCAACAATATACTTTTCTGCAATGGAAGGACAATGGGTTTCCATTATAGGACTGCTCATGGTTGAAGGAATACAAGGGGTTTCCATTCCATTATTATGAGGCAATAATGAAATATATTTTTCACAGGAAGTTTCATTATAGGACTGCTATGTTTTGGTGTCACTGAAACAGAGTCAATTTTATTAAATTATATGTACAAACCATAATGAATTTAGTCCGAACCGCAATGATGCCCACCCCTAACTTCATGGAGAGCTTATACAAGTTGAAAGAGCAGACCGCAGAAGTGGGGGAAAAACTCAAACACTATTTGTTACGAAGAAAGTGAATCATCTATCCAATTTGAAAACGTCATTGCAAGGAAGAGCTGGTTTACATGACCATCATGAGCAGCACTCAACAATAAGCACCTTAAAATACCCTGATATGAACAAGCAGCTCACTGTCGACCTTGGAAGGACCTAAACATTTCGTGACAACCACACACTAAGTGAGATCCTGGAACTGTATGACATAAATCAGACCAACTCCCTAACCTTCCTCGAAATCTGAGGGGGGAAGGTAGGCATGAACTCCCTGGCTTTGGGAAGCGGAACCTCGCGGAACCAAGGGTGATCAATGGCAGCATCTGCTGTTATTCTCTGCATAAAGAAAATTTTATACACGAATCAGCCTGCTATACCTCATATTATACATAGATAAAAAGCTATTGCAACTCTTTCGAAGATATATAAAATGATTTTACCTTGTTTGGATCATAGGACAGAAGCTTGCTCAACAAGTCATACCCCAAGTCGGAAAGAACTGGAGATCCAGTGAAGGATGCAGCAGGAAACTTCTTGCGAAGTAAATTATACCTGACATCAGTATTCCAAAAGAATGATCAGATAAACCTTCTTTAAAAGCACATGCAAACAACAAAGACGCAAAAAGATGTTCAAAATATCCAACATATATAGATACTCACGGTTGCTGAGTAAATATTGGTTTTGCCGCAGACAACTTGGAAAAACCAGGCCATATATCCTCATTTGGCGTGCCAAGAATTCCAAATATCTGCAATAATTCATTCCGAGTTTCATTAGCACCAGCATTAAAAAATAATCCAAAATGAAGAGATGAGTACGACAACAAGAATCCTATACTACCTTCTTAAGTTGCCCCAACTCATTTGTTCCATTGAAAAGTGGTTCTTTCCCCAAAAGCTCAGCCATTATACAACCCACTGACCACATGTCCACTGCAGTTGAATATTGCTTTGCTCCAAGTAGAAGTTCCGGAGCCCTGAATTATATACCATGGACAAATAAATTAGCTCCATATATAGGCTACAAATAACAATCTCGAAAAGCTAAATATAATAGTCAAATGAAACTCACCTGTACCATAAAGTCACCACAAGAGAAGTGTAAGGCTTTGATGGGCTGCTTCCATATTGGCGTGACATCCCAAAATCACATATTTTCAAATCACCTTGATTATTCAGTAGAAGGTTAGAGGTCTTCAAATCCCTATGAATAATCCAATTATCGTGAAGATACATCACACCTTCCAACAGCTGTAACATCAAACACTTAACCTCACTTGTACTGAAAGACTGTTTCATGCCTTGTGTAAGCTCCTTCAGGTCATGTTCCATGTACTCCATAACCATATAAACGTTATCACGGTCATCCATGACAACTTCTTTCACTTGTACAATTGAAGGATGTTGTAAACCAAAAAGAAGGTTAATTTCCCTTAAAGATGACACCGGAAAGCCGTGGTCCTCTACCCCATGGTCCATCTTCACCATCTTCACAGCCACAACTTCCCCCGACTTCTTATCTTTGGCTTTGTACACTTTTCCATATGTGCCCTCATTAATTGCATTCAGCCTCTCATACTCTGACACACTTCTACAACATTGAAGCATATTCACCCTTCTTTTATCAGCCACTAAAATATCTTCGGTAAACTCGGACTCATCATCAGAACATACTTCTTTCAAGCAACAACTATCATTCCCACTAGTGATAGCTACATCCTCCAGTTTATTCGGAGCATCTTCACCACCTCCAGCACTTCCCATCTCAACCAATCCAGAAGATGGACTGGAACTTTTTCTTGGCACATCTTCGTTCTGTGGCATTTCATCATCAGATAAACAATCACTGTCAAAAGACCACCGCGACATTGAAATGTTCCGCCCTTGGACAAGATCCTCTGTCTTCCCTTGATACTGATCCTGAATAATAACAGTGACATCTAGGCCATTCCTGTCACAATCAGTGCTCATTCCTTGGTCGCCACATCCTCTTAAGGAATGAGGAGTAGACGGTGAAACCTCTCCATTGTCTTCTATATTCCAAACAATGGGAGAAAACTTCCTCTTCTTTTGTGGATGCGATATTTCACCATCTTCGAGCCTCAAGGAATCGAGGGGATTTTTCTCATTCCTAATATGATCCAGCTTCTCCTTTCCACAGCTAAAACCAGCACTTTTACTCGAGGAACTGCTGATTCTAGAGGAGACACAGTGCCCCCTTGCCCCATTCTTAAGGTGGTAGGTTTCACTTTTGAAGTAACCATTATAATCTCTTCTTCTCGCAACATGTACCTGCCCTGCCGCCATATTATTCAGAACCAAAAATTCCTCTCAATAATAAAAAAAAAAACACAAACTCAATATAGCACAACTTCAAAAGTTCCTGAACCCCTCCTAGACAAAGAATCAACAATTCGACAATTTGCCTCTTCTATTTTGTTCTTTCTTCTTTCCTTCCCTAAATCTCTACCTCGCACTCTTCTCCAACAATACAATCAAAACCAGATCTTTCAGACAAACAGAACGCAGAAAGAGGGAAATAAGCAGAAAAACTAGAACCCACAGTAGCAGAATTCAACAGAATTATCACGGACAAAAACAAGCCACAAGGAGCTTGAGGGAACAAAAGAATCTATTGCGATCGAGTAGTTCTCGAGTACAATCACAACCACAATCAAAATCAAAACCCTAGAGCACGATGGCTCCGGCGAGATCAGCCGTCTCTCCACGGGAGGAGAGTGCTACGAAAAATCTTACCGGAGAGAATCAAATCGAAGAAACAGATGCTGGACACGATCGGTGGATCGCAACAACAGCCGGTGGAAAACAGAATAGGAGAGAAGAAAACCAGCTGATTGCGAGAACGACGACTTGCTTTTCAGTTTTCTTCGAAGGTCGGGGTCTAGGGGTGTTTGGTAAACCGTTTCATACACGGAAGAATTTCTTTCGTTCCCGTTTCCGCGTCGGTGATAATGGAAGGGTTCCTCTACGCGTTTTTCTTTTGTGTGGTTTGTAGGGGTGTGCAACGGTTCGGTTCGGTCCGGACCGGACCAAACTCATGAGAACCGCGGTCCATTAGTGAAAGACATGTTAGGACCAAGGACCGGACCATTCTTGCATTTGGTCCATTTGGTCCGGTTCGGTCCGGTCCAAATATGAGCTCGGTCCACCATTTCTTCAGTAATTATAAAATTCATTAGGACCAAGGACCGGACCGCATTTTACTCGGTCTGGTCCGGTCCGGTCTTAACAACGGTTTGGTCCGGTGTGGTCCGGTACGGACCGGACCATTGCACACCCCTAGTGGTTTGGATCGAATCTTACTATAAATATTTATTTATTTATTTATTATATTTATTTATTTCTTTTGTATTAGAGGTAAAATCGTTTCTACTTCCACCATGGTTGTCACGCCGGTCGGCGTGCCACCGGTTGTACCGGGTTCAACCGGTACCGGTCATAAAACCGGCGTGACACCACCGGTATGACCGGCATGATCGATATACGAATCTCTAAGTAAAATGACATTATTTTAGAGAATTTAATTGATAAAAATTATTTTATTATTTATTTTATGAGTATAAAAGTTAAATATTGATGTTATTTGTTGGATTCAAGTATAAATGTTTAGGTATTGACGTTAAATGTCATGTTTAAATATGAGTATTTATAATTTTATTTGTAATATTGACCGGCATGAACCGGCACAAACCGGTATGTGCCACCGGTTGAACCATTCCACTTGCTAAACCGGCACACCAGCATAATCCGGTTTGACAACTTTGACTTCCACTAACAATATTTGTTTGCATCATTGAAATACACATTATAGACTCAAGAAACACATTTTTATTATTCACAGAGCCCACAAAAATCTCGATGGAAATTTTGGTACTATTCATATTTTTTTGTCCGGGACGTCCAATCGAAAAATGATCTATTCCACCATGTTCGTATCCACATTTTAGAGGATCGACAAGGTTTCAATAATTTTTATTTACTGACCATAAAAAATAAATTTATTTACGGATTTGGATGTTTTTGTAGTGATTTAGATAGAGATCAAATAATTAACTTATTCCCTCCAATTGCATAACCTAACGTCTAATTGCCTAATTAACTTGTTTACCTTTTCTGATTGCTAGTTGGTAATTGGGTATCGCGAAAGGAAATTTTATTTTAATTAAGGTAAGTTTAGGGTTTTCTTAATTTCCTTGTTTGTCTCCAATAGGTGAATTTAATCATTTTAAATAAACCTTTAAATAATTATAAAATATCACGTCCAAGATAATTATTTTAGGTTATTACTAATTTCTATTTTTGTGTCCGTTAGTAGAGTATAATCACTTTAGGTAACTTTTTTTTTTGTTAATTAGGAAAATAATCATTAAATGTGGGTTATTGGGGAGGATATTTCATAAATCTAACCTTAAAAATTTTACCATAAAACAAACTTTATTTTTCGCAAAAAAAAAAGAGATAAAACCACCGGCGGCCTGTCCGACGCCGCCGATCGGGCGTGGTCCGACGCCGCCGATCGGACGTGGTCCGAACTCCGTCGTCGGACCGTTGATCTCCGTCAGACGACGCCGGGAAGATGATGATGATGCCGAGAATAAGGCGCGCGAGCTTCGATCCATGGGACGACGGGAAGATGATGATGATGCCGACAAGGTAGGTTTAACGAGATTGTTAACTTCCCCCATTTATTGTTAAAGGCCGACGATGAAGGGAGGACGTCGCCGATGAAAACGGCCGGAACTATGTCGGAGGTCAGAGGGAGGAAAGCAATCGAACGTGAGATTTGATTGGGGTGGGTGACAAATATGAATGAGGGCAAAAATGTCATTTACTTTAAAATTGTGGGCGGCAATTAGTAATTCTACGGGCGGTAAATAACAATCCTCTTTTTTTACTCTACTAGCCTAGTGCCCGGCCCGATGGCCGGATGCAGCTTAGTTGAGTAACGTACAATAGTTGGAGATGTAAATTAGGTGTGTAAATTTTCCGAGCACCATGAAAGTGTGAGAATAGTGGATTCCTTTTTTCATTGTTGTTATTATAGTATGGGTAGTCACCATTCATTTATCTTCTAATTATCCCGTTTTTTCCTTGCATTCGAACAATCTGAGGGTAAATATACAGTTGGTGTAGAAATGCAATGCATACGGTGAATAAATCAGCTGATTAGGCAAGTGGAAGACATACAAAAACGGTGGTTTATGAATCACTTTGAGGATCCGGTGGTTTATGATTAGGCAAGTGGAAGACATACAAAAACGAAGTGGAAATTAGGTGTAGTGCATATTGTTTTGCATACGTACCAAGAGCTGAACTAAATAGAAGACATACATGTACTTGAAATCACAGAAGTATCTGTTCTTCTAAGTCAGAATATAAATACTACATCGCAATAACAATATAAATGTACTTCTTCTACTACCGAAAAGATGAAATGCACAAAATAACATTGGAATTCATATCTCCTAGTTCTGCCTTCCCTTGATTCTTTCTCAGACAACCAGCTGATTCATCCCTTAGTCTTACCAGCTGAAATAATAACAGAAGTAGAAGCTAATTATTAAATGTAAACCCTCAGTTGTGTTAATAAATAGCAATATTCTCCTGTATTTGAAATAAAAAAAGGCAAGACATGTACCTTCTTCGAATGCAAAATGAGGACAGTGTTTATAGGTTCAGTTTAAGATCCAGTAATGGTTAAAATACTTTTGGATGCTAAATTGCAAACATGCGAATATGTGGTTCAATTTCATATTCTGGTCCAATGATGTATACTTCTGCCATGAATTTGATGTTACAGCATTCTTTCATCAAGTGAACTCGCTTGTCATATGGCATTTTTTTAAACTCGATCGGTGGCTTACGAAGCAGAGCAAGAGCAGGTCCATGATTCAGAATGACCTTTGCCTTGTGATTTCCCGATTCACATTCAGCCTGTAGTTCATAGAATAATCTGAAGAAATATGTAGATTAGATGCATTTAAACAATGTATAGTAGTTTTATAATAGGGAATCAAAAAGCAAAGGTATTTGGAAATACTCAGGGTCTCCAGGAAAAACTTCACGGGTCACAGAACCAAGGTCGAATTTGACTATTTTCAATTTGCACCGATAGAGTATCTGTCATATAGTTTGATATAGGAGAAAGACAAAAAAAAATAGAATTTAGGCGTATTTGAAAACACTGCTACTATTGAAAGTCAATTTGAAACTTATTTATATTTGTCAAATATACTTCCTTGACAAATGTATAACAGAGCATAGAAGGTAATGACAGTTACCTCTGTTTCGTCTTCTCCTAAAGGTAGCTTGTTTGTCAATTCTAATAATGAGATTCTGGGCGGAATGTTGCGCCGAAGGTATCCAAGACGCTCTTTTGATTTGTAGTCAATGATATCCACAGGCAGTCTGTTAGGAAAGAACCTAGAATGTTTTGGAAGTTAAATTAGACAACTTTTTGGAAAAAATATGCAAAATATATTAAAAATGAACATATAAATATAACAGTTTACCTGTTCATTAAATCTTTGGTCATCTCATTGTACAGATGTACAATAAGACGACCGCCATGAGATGTTACGAAACATAACTGTGGAATATGGTCAAATTCGTGCATGTTTCGGGTGAGTGTTGTTGCTGTCACAACCAGAGGATAATGAACTTCTGTGGCAGTAGCACTTTCAATGAAATCTTTAATTCTTGTGCCAATATAGCTCACAAGTCCTTTGTTTCCACTAAAAAGTTGGAAAACGGAGTATAAGTATGATTATAGACTAATCTTGATTCAATAAGACATTATAGTAACTAATTATAAGTGTACCTCATATCTTCAAGATGAATCTGGAACATAAATATATCAGAACTGACTTTAGTTGGTTCGATGATATGCGTTACACATCCTGTGATATCTGAAATATGAAAATGTTTTAGTTGTTTTGTTCTATGTGATCTTTGGAATATACAATATTTAGCACATCAATTTCTAATACAATCTGTTGAAATCAGTAGGTTAAGTATAAACAATGAATACCTGAGAAGCAAGGTGGAAGACTTTTTGAAGAACCACTGCCATTGAAAGGACTTTGAAAAAAACAATCATCTCGAAAATGCATTGTGCTCCGATATTCAATCATCGTTTTCAATGAAGATTCCTTTGTAAAATACAATCTCAAATCGGAAGGTGCAGTGTGACGTTCAGATCTAGCTACCTAGCTGGTATGACAGTTGGATTCATCATGGTATAGAGACAACCAATCTCAATGTCTTTGCAAATATGAGCAGAATCTTCATGGGGTACATTTGCTTCCATAAGTTGTCCCTGAAGAAGTTAAAATGTTACAAATGAGCTAAAACTAACTGTTCTGTTATAAGAGTAAAACCAGTAGGTGTTTAATGTTTATAAATATACCTCTTTATCTAACCAAAGCATATGCATTGAGGTAATAGATCTAGTTCCATCTGACTCAGATTCTGACCACATGTTTAACAGTCTAGCCATGAGGAAATGGTTGCTTGTTCCAAGAAGAAGTTCACGAAAGGTTGTGAATTCAGCCATTACATCAAAAAGCAAAAGGGAAACTGAGTCATTACATCTAAAAGCATTCGGATACACCTCTTTTCAACTAATTGTAAGATACCATGTGGGTCTTGTGGCAACATTTTCCCTTCTGTTTTCGCCCAAAATAGCATATCGGGTTGTGATAGAGTTTTGGGGCAGCAATAACTTCTTGCTCGAACTGTGAAAGAAGACAAAATGAGGAAATCAAAGGAAAAAGAAATAGAATGAATATGTACTACTTGCTAGTATGTAGATTCCCTATGGGGTCGGATGTGGGAGATGGGGGACCAGCACGGCTGCAGCTGCGGGGTATTTAATCTAGGGTTTCTCTTTCGACAAAACCAGCAGGCGAAGGAGAAAAATAGCAGCAGCTGTTTTACTTTCCCAAACAGTATCACTTTCAGCTGATGGAGG